GGCTGGTAGTGGTTAAAAAGTATAATAAATCATTTGCAGCTGGGCAAAAACTTGCTGACCATATTACCTGTTAAAATTGTTCTAGATTTGAAAATAGCAGATAAATTCCATGTGAAGTTTTTTTGCCTAATATGCTGTCATTTTAAAAAAAAGATAAGGTAAAAGAAGGTCATTTCCAAAATGTGATGATTGACTCTCACTGTTAAATTGGCATTTGTACCTTGGGTAGGTAAGGCCTACATAACTCTGGTGCCTGGAGCATTAATCCAGCCCTGTTTGCACCTATGCCGCTTGGGTTTGGATTTAATTAAAACTTTGGATTCAGAGCAGATCTGACAGGTTCAGAGAAGACAGTTTTTTATCCACAAGTTAGAGTTAGAGTAAAAGGTTAAAGCTGATGGGCATGGAGAACTTGAGTGTCGGAAAAATGTCACGTTCTCCAGAAGTCAGCTTGAAGTTTCCCTTTCGGTGGCTGTATCTGTTGCTCTTTAATGACCCTCTGTCAACAGAATAGATCAACAAGAATTATTCATACATGTACCTACATGATTTGAGACATACTCGTTAAACCAACAAACCCACAACAGTAATACCTCATTTTGGATACATAGAAACATGCTGCAGTCTTGATCATCAAACAGATTGTAATGAGATGGTGTCAGGACTTACAAACAAATCCAGCGATATTTCACTTGACATTCCTAATGCCCCCCCTTAAATTGTCAGAAAGCACTGTGATCAACTTTGTGCAGAGTGAGTCATGGAACAGTGGCTCTGTACAACAGTTATCATGATAATTCTGGCCACTGCAAATTACTAGTGACACTGAGTGATAGCATTGCCGTGGTTACTGGATTTGTCTGTAGACTACTTTCAGTAACAGTCAAACAAATCAATCATTTTGAGTAGCTTCGACTGCATCGACGCAAAGCTAGAGATAGCCATATGAATGTACACATGTGGTCTGATGAGTGAGACAGAATGGGAGGACAGTTAACAACGTGTTGATATTTTTAGTGCTGGTAGCATACGTGTACATGTAGTTACACCAAACACTAATAAACTACTACAATCTAGGCTAACTTAAAACTGCAAACAGAAGAGGCCCAGCTCCTGAAGGAATTCCAAAGAATTTGAACGCTGGGATGTGTTTACATGTATTAAGTTATCTAAAACTGAATACTATCACACACATACATGTGCACTGGCATTGTGCCACTTCACATGGATGGAATGTTCTCCACAAGATGTACATGTACATGTAGGAGGTTCCCCTTCTCTCCGGTGTGTTCAGATATCCCTGCCAGGGATATCTTAGCAAGCATCAGATAAGCAGCCACTGTTGTATGATTTGGAGGTGCACTGTTATTTTAATGCATTACAATACATATGGTATGATTGACATGTATGAGTTAGCTGTGGAATTTTTCCTTTGTGAAATTTTAGGTTAAAGATCTTACCTCAAGGAATGTCTGGAGTCTCACAACAGGCCCTCCAGACCCTTTGGGAGTTACAGCCACAATTCTGTGGGAAAATGAAAAGCTGTCATGATGGCCAGTTCTTCATGCTACATACATGTATATCACTTCCAAAGAATTCCATGTCCTTGTACATGTTGGTACAAACTCTTACAGGACAGCTTTCAGGACTTGGTATACAATCTGTGTTGGCATTAATTAGAGTGACTGTCATTTACACAAGAACCCATGGTTAAACCAGGTGCAACATCCCTTACATGCTATAGACATTTGACTTGGAAAATCTCCTGCAACCTTCAAATACAATGTAAGGCTCATAAAACGAAAAATCCTATGTTAAAATGTACTTCAGCAATTCAAAAAATGTACTTTTTGGTAATTTTTGACTGTGTACTCAAATTATCCTTGAGTCTGGATGACTTTACATTTGTTTGTAATGTCTGTCTTGTGTTACTGATCCCTAAGATACAGTGGACCTCTTGGCTGCTCCTGATGTCTAATTTTCAAATACAAGAATGATAAAACCACAATGTGGATTGATAATGGATTTCTCTGATCACCAAGTATCTTGTACTTGTGAGATGTGGCATTTAAAAATATCACCTTTTGTTTGTAATTTTGTTACCTGGTGCTTTCCAATGTTGGCTATCTGCATTTCTATTTCTTTGTGGTTGTTCAGAGAATCATCACATTGTTCATTTAAATTTGACTGCACCAGATAAGCATGGCATGAGATCCACCTTTTGTCTTTTTGGTACCAACAAAATCTTTTCTTTGTCATGTTTGTGGATTATCATCTTGTCAAGTATCTTGAAACTGATGCAGGTTTTATCAAAAAGCTTAAACTTACTTAGGGAAGTAGTTTTTGTAAAGCACTCGGATGAGCTTGAAGAACTGTCTACTGTACGCGGCAGTGAGAGCATTACCACACACCTTTTAAAGGAAACACAAACATGTTTTTTTCCCATTAACAAAAAGCAAATAATCTGGTTTTACTTTCATGCAAAGTTGTGATGGAAAGTTTTCAAAATAAACTTGGACTGAAAGTGCTTCATCACAACTTTTAAAACTGTGCAGATTTTTGTTCAACATTCTTTCCTGTAGTTGATAAGCCATCACATCTGTAGTGAATTCCAGACTGGTCTAGTATTATCATTCACTGTAAATAAATCAACAAGAAGTACAATGAGTCAAGCAGCAGCGGAAGAAGATACAGACTCCAACTATCATAGGAATGCATGTTTTGTTTATTAAATTATAGACTAAACCTCTAAATATCCAGTTCATTTAGGGGTCATCCGTTTTTGTCATCATTTTTATGAGCGTACAAACCGTACGCTGGTGGGGTGGGGGTGAACTGGTTGTGTACACTTTAGAAACTTGTTAAAAATGACAATTATCATAGACGGCCAACAATCACCCCCAACAAATGCGTGTGTGCAGAGAAAGCATGGGACTCTGATGCATCATTCATACAAGCTTGGGCAACAGCTATTTCTTAACCACTTGACGATTTTGCCTGGTGTTCACATATGAAAAAAGCACACACACAAGTACCAGGCAAAATTCACTAACGTTGAAATCACAGCCACATGTGAAACAGTCTTCGAGCTTCCCCCAAAGCTCCGCTGTGCCATGTGTGCTATGAGGTTTGGTACCCAGCATACTTAATACACACAAGTTTGTACATGTACATGTACGTAACGATGCAAAAAATCATTGTAACCACAGAACTGTATACTTTTTACCACTTTTTATAAGCAATTGTGAAGAGGAGGACAAATCAAAGGCACATTTTCTGATTGCTATTCTTGGACACAAAAAATGGACACTTTTATTTTAAGAAAAAAGTACCTGCCCATCAGGCAATTTGTCCTTAATTATTACTTGCCTGAACTGAAAGAGGAATTTGTCTCAGGCAATCACAAAACCGTGAATGTCGAGGCCTGTCATGGACATTGCTTTTCCTCCTGCCACTATTCTCTGGTTGTCTACTGCACATTAACAGCCTTACATTGTGAGTTAGAATGGGTCCTGGGGCACCACAGAGAAATCAGCATTTTATTTTGTACCCTTTTAGAGGGGAAGAGGGGAACCAGGAAAAACAGTACGCTTTGTACACTTGTGAAAATGACAAAAATGAATGGATGACCCCTTAGTATTTACAGTAAATATTCTGTTTGATTGGCCACAGAAGAGGAATGGTTGCCGAGAATAAAGTCTTAAAAATTGTAATTAAACACTTGCAGTGCAAGCGGGTTAAAACTTTTGATGAAATGCACACTCTTCATCAGTGGGTACTGACTTGTCTACAATGTTACCTTGTTTAACAACACCAGTGTATCATGTGTCTAGCATGACCCGGTACATGCACTCAGTTCTTTGAAGCCAGAGATTGCAGTTCCCTAGCAACCAAATCATTCATACACCTGTCAATCTTTGACAAAATGGGGATCTCTCCCACATCCTAGGATAGTTTGGTTTCATCAGCGTAGATATCAGTGTATCTGTGTTTAAGTTACAGGTGTACCTCAGTTGCACCCCTTATGATATCCTTTGGCCCCCTTTCTTTTCTGACTGAAGAGACATAGGGAACTATCTCAAAATTTGTCGGGGTCAAGTTGTTGATAAGTTGTGGGTGGAATCACTTACTTCACCAAAAGAAACCCTACACTTGTCCGGGACAATTACCGATGAGTTTTCAGTAGCAAGTTGTCAGCTGTGAATGACTTTTTCACATTTGACCAAAGGGCACACAGCAGGTGGCCCAACAAGACTGGTTTGTGGTTTCCACAAGAGCCACCACATATATTTATTTATCATTCAATGAGAAATTTCACTAATCTCCCATTGATCCCAGTTCACGTAAAAACAGCTAAAAAGCAAATGTAAAATATTAAATATACAATGTGAGAATGTACCAGGTACATTAAAAGCAATAAACAAACCAAAGTTTGGATAGCTCAACACGAGCCACCTGAGTGCACTGTGATGGTCACAACCTCTTTTTTTATTTATGGCCAGAGGGTTAAAAAGGAATGTTTTGCTTGCAGGTAAATTAACATCAATATGTACCAAGAATGCAGCGTTTACTATATTTTCTTTCACTCTATTCTTAACTGTAAGGCATCTATGAGCAAGACAATTTGAAATGGGACACCCAAGTTAATTCCATGTGTAAAGCATTTCATTGAAAATTGTACTTTCTTTGAGAACTGAAATGTAATATTCTTGTTACCGACTTGTTAATACATCATTTGGCCTACTCTTGAGTATGCTTCACCTTTCTGGTTTTGTGGTTTGACTAAAACACAAAAGGAGTGCCTGGAGAACATGCAGAGTAAAGCTCTTTGTGTAATTTTTACTGTTGACTGTTGTAAAATTCAACCTAAGTGATATTTGTTAATCATGAAACATTCCTCCTACCGGTATGTCTGATAGACTGGAAGTTCTTTCCCTCAATTTTGGCAACTCTCTACTCAATTCTGGGGTTCACAGACAGTGGCTTCCCCCTCAGAACAATTTAAGGAATACTGACAAATTACCTTCAAGCTGCAGTACGACCACTCCAAATTCAGCTTATCCCTTATTTAGCATGGATTTTGAATCAACTTTAGTTTCTGGTTCATCATGTCTGTGCTTTTTTTTTTTAGTCTTCAATATCACTTCTTAGTCAGTGTTGTTAGATTAGTTATTAACATGTTGTTCATTCATTTACATGTCTTTTTGATATGCTTTAACTTCTGTGTGTACTTGATGTAGTTTGTAACGGATGATTATATTTCCATTATCCAAATTTTCAATTCCATGTATTTTAGTTTTCTAAAAATTGTAAAATAACTGTAATTCAGCCTTTGGCTGTGAGAGTCTTTTTAAATGAACCATTAATTTAAAAAAAAACTTAGGCAGAAGAAAATAAAAAAATTAAAAGCATACATTAGCAAATGACAGTTATGCCCTTAAACTTTTATTGGAATGAGAAACTATATTCAGTTAATGTACAAGTGGAAAATGTCTGTAGAGAGCATTTAAACTGATTGGTTATCATAAAGCTATTATATCAACATTACTTCCAGTATAGTGGACACATAGTGTGTCACTGAGTGCCCAGCTTGGCCCAAACCCTAAACTGCAGTTAGGGGACATGTGTAAAACAACCTGACTGCTTCGTGTTGTTAAAAATTAAACAACCTTAACCCGCAACACTGTCCACAACATGTCCCAGATGAATTTAAGATGACTCATAAAAATTGCTTGTCTTGCAAGACATGGGCTGATGATGTTCAGGATAGTGGTCACTGTAGTGTAGCCATAGCCTGGTCCCCTAACAAATACCTAAATTGGGGAGTGAATCAGCTTTCCAATGCATTGATCCAGATGCATGTTAAGACCCCATCAGGACAGCCCACATCAACATGCCTTCCTACTTAATATGACTGTTGCTCCATTTGACCCAGGCCCACAGCTGCCTGTCCAATTATCTGCTCCAAGCGGAACAACAAAAGAGGGCATATTTTTTTGGTACTCCCCGCATAGGCGCACCATGAGGCGCAAGCATACATGTATGCGCATTTGACGTGGAGCACAAAGAGTACGCGTAACAAATTCACTCCAGCATGTATGGTCTTTGTGTACACGCAGAACATGCGCAAGAACCCACATGTAACCACCTGTCTTTCTTTTCGCCAACTGAGGGTGCACTTCAGTTCAAGGTGGGTTGTGGCCACATTTGTCAATTAAGCTTCAGGTCAAAGCAAACTTTGGTAAATAACAGAATCACAAACCACAAAACAAAACTAGGGAATAATGGTTTTCTGACATTTTTAACCTGTATAAATCACAGTCAACAAATGGCATAAAAAAAGTTTCTCAGCCTGAGCTAAATACGAAAGTAATGGGGACTCTGAACAGGCATTACGCAGTTGGGTTTACATTTGAATTTGTGCACACGACAATGCAAAACAGGTGACTGGCTAGTGTCCTACCAATGCTTGAACATCACAGGATGAAGTAACATGCATGCACATGTCCAGCAATGTTTGAATCCATACTTTAGTCTGTCAGCATTTGATGAATGGTTTGTAGGAGGGTCCCTCCCCCACTCTCCCAATATTCAATCCTTTTTATTGATGGAGTCACCCAGATGCTTATGCAAATCCTCAAAAGCCAAACAGTAATCTCAAGGGTGTGCTGTTCTCTTGCAATACTTTTGTTTCATCAGTTGTTGGTTTTGTTCAAGTTTGGCTGTTCTGTAGGTACACGTACTTCTGTAGTTTTGGATAAAAATTATAAACTGTGCTTTATTTCTGTACTTGTACCATACTTGTATTATGTAAATGATGTTTATTGGTGACCTGGCAAAATGATGTAATTGGGTGTCATTTCATCAGCCACTAAATGAAATAATTCTTTTCACTGCATAAATATATGCCTGAGTGAATCCAACAGAAATCCAAGAATCACCTGAATAAAGCCTTGCATTATCTTCAAATTCAGCAATTTTAGGGGGACAACCAAGTAATAGAACTTCCACTCTTCCAAGGCACAAGACCATTGACCTACCACTCGAAAGACTAGGCCTTGCCAATTATCTGAATATTTGGATAATGGATCAATAATTGAATAATTTATTTTTAAATTTTATGATGGTGAAAATCAAAGATCTAAAAACGTGTGAAATATTCACTTATTTAGTTCCAAAATTGCATATTTCATAGTAGACTTGAAATCCAGTCGTTAGTCGGTCGTGTTTGTCATTCATATTAGTGCTGAAGATGAATATGGCGCATGAAGACAAATACATATCCAAGAACAAATCTTATAACTATCTTTTTTGGTAGCAGATCTGATGCTTGTATGGTAGATGTAAATCATCTTTTTAGAATAATGTAAACATGTGGTTGTTGTTAATAAATGTTCAACTGACTTTTTATACACCATCAAACTGATTGGGAAGCAAGGTTGCACTAACTGTTCCCACATGTTATTAAACAGCACGCATCGCGAGAAAGGTGGACTACACCCGACCAATTACGGACTTGATATCAAGTCTAATTTTATAGCATTAACTTAAAAGGTTCTACGTAATGTGATTAATTTTGACCCTTGAAAATGCCCTCTTCTGTTTCAATTAACCAAAATTTCATTTTGTATTTTATTACTTTAAAAATGCTCTCTTTTGGTTATGCTAATGCAAACTTCCATATTCATCAGCAAAATTTTAATGTAGATGAAAAACCTTTGGCCACAAACACCTGCTAAAATCTGTAGTCCTTAATTTTTTCTTTGGCGATAAGAAAAATTGACTTTTCAATACTGTTATACACAAAAGGGCATCATATTGTGAACAGGAGTATAACAATGCCCAAAATGTGTGTCGAAAGAAAAATTCTCTGCATTGACCCTTTAAAGACAGCTGAATTCATAAGCCCAATAATTAGGCCAAAATTACCTATTCTTTAAAGGGACTGTGTAATAGAAATATTTTACTAAAATCCTAGAAATTACACCTTTGAGCTTCAATTAACCACTTCTTGCCAGGGCAGTTATCAATGTTGGTGATACTGGGCCGAGATATTTATCATTTTTTTCTGTTTTCAAAATCCTTAAAAATTCCTCTCTTCATTTACTGGACACTTACAAACACGTGGAGGACTGTCTGGTGGCCCCTCTAGCCGGACAGACAAAATCTATGACGCCTGAGTATTTCAGCCAGGCCTGCAGCCTTGTAAAAAGAACCCAGATTGTGCGGTAACTTATAACTTTTTTTTTTTCACGAACCTGGCTCAGTGCACTGCTCAGTCTTTTCAATAGGGGCCAGATTAGCATGCAGCGGTGCTGTGTGGCTCATTGCTGCAGTGGTAGAGCGCTTTTGTTCCAGGTGGTAATCCGCTCACTCTAAATGCCCCAAACCGTGGTATACTGTTTCAAAACAAGGCTGGATTATCTCCACTTTTGAGAGTGAAAAAATGTTGGTAATGCCCAGCAGCCTGGTCTTTTGTTACAAGGCCCTGTTCCCTTTGTCTGATTCGGAGACTCCGGCCACACATATAAAGCACACGTATCCAGATCCGGAATCCCCAGCAGGAAGTGGTTAACCTTCTTTTCAAGTTTTGTTTTGCTATTTTTATCTGTAGTTTGAAGCCTTTCTGGTTTTACACTAACATGAATTTGAATAATCACAAGCAAAATTCTGATGTAGTCTGAGGCACAGAACCTCAGTGTTGCATTCATTTGTGCATAAAATATTTAATACAAAAAGATTTCCATTTTGATGTGCAATTGTTGTTCAATGTACATGTATTAATACGTGGCAACAAGCCAGTGAGCAATCTTTTCTTAAATGTTTTCAAAGAGCAAATTTAGGGTTCAAAATGTGAACATGACAACATGAAACCTCAAAAAGATCTTCCTGGATTTACATGACAATAACGGTTGCCCTTACTTTTCTGGACAAGTTTGATCAACTGTGAATATGTACAAAAGGTCCCCTTAACTCCAAAAGATTTCAAACATTTTTCATACAATGGAGAGCAGTATTCTAAGAAAATTCACTGCACTGTTTCTTTAAGCTTTTCTTCAGTAACTTTTGGTCAAATACGTGTATTCTGTTTCTGCTTCTGTAATTGTTTAAGTACTTCCAAACTTTTGAATCTTTGATTGAATAAAAGGTTGAATGTTCAAATTTTCAATTATTTGAATCAACTCAGCCTCCCAAAAGAGCATTTTTTCAGGTGCTATATAAAATTTAACTGTCTACTTTTAACACGACAGATAATTACTCACCTCTAAGAAATCAAAAAGCATTGTTGCAGTAATGTCTGGTTGGGGTTCCACATTGAGCAGTCGTGCTAACCATTTCCATGCATGATCTATTCCATATGGGTGAACCTACATGTATATATATAGAAAACAACATCAAATTATTCCATGCTTCTCTTGAAAAGTATAAACTGTATGAGTTCTGTTTATCAAACGGATTAAAACACTGTGATCCCAAGCAGGGTCATTCCATAGACAACTGCTATATACATGTATAGTACATGCACTTTTAGGGTTTGATTTGGGTCCTGTGTGTGTTTTCTTCAAATATAAAACTAAGGACCAAAGCAACAAACTGCATCACAAGTAAATACTGTGTGTTTAACAATAAGGTTACGTTTTATATGATGAATCTTGAGTAGGTACCAAATGAAAGGGGCCAAGAGTGCCGTCATTCATTCTGCTATTACAGTACTTGAGTGAGTAAAGATTTATCTTGAACCTTTTTGGTGCCTGGCATTGGTTGTGTGATCATGATTGCTGCATACAGACGCATAAAACCAGACATCCTCCGCAGGTACTTGTCTTGCTTCTCTACGACACCATCACTCTCATAATTGTAACCCAGTGATCTAGAAAATATACACCAAATCAGTGTGTAAGTGTAACAATGAAATTTCTATCCATTTTGGATTGACTAAGGTCCCTGCCCACACTGATCAATCATTTGTCATCACTTGGGACAAGAAGGATTTTAAGATAATAATAACAAATCAAAAAACCAAAGAACTGGTATCATAAGGTTGAAATGACTCAGTTGTAATAGCTTGAAATGGTTCAATGAATTCTTTATATATCTTTCCTCGACAACACAAATACAGTTGTTTAGTTTGTTCACACGGTTGAATTTGTTTTATCGAAGTTATTTTGTTTCAACTAGATCAAACCCAATTGCTGCGAAAACACCGTGTGTGGATCTTTAGTCTTTAGAATGCAACCACGGTCAACAGAGCTATCCCATCCAAATTTGGGTTGTCTCACACACTCTCCATCTCTCTGTTTACATGGTGAGTAATACAAATACATGCTGCTTAATCAAAGGCCCAATTGATAACAAAGGCCTCTGTAGGACCATTAGGAGAAGGTGCGGTTACATAGACAGTTTTCTTGAATTACTTTAATAATTGATTATTTTCAGCCCAAACATTACTTGTAATAGTCCTCATTCGACTGATCTTGACTCTTGGTGATATGGTAGGGTACTAGGAAGGGGCACTTGAGGTAGAAGTGTGCTAACATAAGCTCTCCAACGTCTGGGAATTCACACCACAGAGTAACAGCAATGGCTGCAAATGGAAATGCTGACTCATAGTTGGATGACACCTGTTCATCACTTTGTTTCTGTTAATAACAAAAAATTAGTTATGTTAAAATGGTAACAACTTCCGCTGAAAAAGAAAAGATGGATGTTGGAGCATTTCTTAGTTAAGGTCAATCATAACATTTACATGAGCTGATAGAAGCAGTCAGGTTTATCTCTTACTCTGCTTCACTACTGCTCCGCAATGCACATATGCATACCAGTATGTGTGTAATAACCTGACCTGCTAACCTCTGGGATTGTCACAAAACTGTATTCAGAAAATCCAAAAGTTGTATGTTTCATTAAAAATCATATTTTTCAAAAAGTAAGCAAATTCCTCTAATTGGGTCAACACTTCTTCACACATAAAAATAATCACAGGAAAAATCCGTAAGTAAGGTTTGTAGAGTGAGTTGGCCCTTTTTCCACCTGATTCGACCATGTTTTTAAAATTGAATTCTTTGTGACAAATAATGCAAATCGCATGTCCAGGCTTTTGGATTTTCTGGGTGCAGATTGTGTTGCCTACCCATGGCCTATTCCATCACAGAGATTCCATCCATATCCATTCCACAGATTTTAACTTGGCCTTGTCAAAGACTGCATCCAAGTCAGAGCCTCTTTTGAAAGTACAGCTTTCTCCTCCGCCCAGATTGTTGACCTCGTCTGGCTATGCGTGTCATCCAGCTTCTTCTAGTTCCAAGGCAAGTTCTACGAGCAGACGACTGGGACTTCCATGGGATCTCCTATAACTCCAGTCCTACCCAACATCTTCATGGAAGAGTTTGAAACGCCACCACTGCTCTCCAAGACCTCAAACCCACCCTATGGCTGCACTATGTTGACGACACATTCGTCATATGGCCCTATGGTCCAGATCATCTCTAAGAATTCCTTGCATATCTCATCCAGCAACACCCTGCCATCAAGTTCACCATGGAGCAATAACAAGATGGGCAGCTCTCCTTCCGGGATGTCTACTTGTCCAGGAACCCTGATTGCACCCTCAACCATCGTGTCCACCTCAAGCATACCCAATTGTTAGTCACTACTTCCGCTGACACATAAACGGCCATTTCAAGTCCAACTGACACATACATGAATATTGATATTTCATTGGCAGCCAATCACAACACAATGATCGGGTGGTTCCCAGGATGCTGTTTATGCTGAGGCTTGCATGTGGAGACATGCCAAAAAAGTATGCACAGATTTATACTGGTGTATGCAAGTGCATGTGCATGTGGGTTATTCCATAGATTCAGGGTCCAAAAGTGTGAAATTTTTGTGTCTATTAAACCAGTGTCATTTGACATGGTAATATCACCTAAATTGATTTCAAACTATTTCTATTTGTTTGACAGGTAATATATCTATTAATTCATGAACTGAACTGAATCGGACCCCTCATGTGTAGAATAACCCATGTACAAGTACTGTAGGCCTACAATTAAGTTGATTCAACCGTGTGCATTACGGCACTCAAGAACTATTTTCGCAGGTGTTTGGCCTGGCCGTTGCATTGGTAGAAAGAAATTTTAAAAATGGAAAAATCGGCGTTTACGCAATGAAGAAAAACAAGAAAAATGTAGTCTGTCAGTGGCAAAAAAAGCTGAAATGAAATTCGGCATACTCGAAAAAAAAAAAAGCGGCCATTTCACATCCCTGGCTACTTTTCCATGCATGATTAATTCCTCCATGTCCAGAATGAGTCAAGCGTACATCATGCATGATTTTCTTCTGAGATCACTGAGACAAATTTCATTTTTCAAATTATACTTTTTGTACAATTGCTTTCTTTTATCCTGTTATGGTGGATAACGCCATATTTATACATGCATTTCACTGTCACACCAGTACTGTTTCACACTCAACCTTATCATCAGCAGCCATAAACATGCATGGTCTATGCGAGTACCCAGTACTATCGGCCATTCATCTATTGTCATGCCTTGCATGTTTGTATGCAACCTTCCAATTGGATAATATGCCTGTTCCCCAATGCATCTGTTTTCATTCCATGTACCAATCATGGACGTCCTTGCTTACAAGGTTACAGTAAAAACCCGCAGCCGTTTTTACTGGCATAATGTACACTCACAACTGTTGAACTGCAATTTTGACCAAACACCAAAACTGTCTACAGTTGTTTACTTATTACCTAAAAAGCACACCAGGTAGGAAGAGCAACATGCATGAATATAAAAAAACATACCACTATTTTCTTGGCCAAAAGATCTTTCACAAATGGTTGGCCCTCTGTGTTCTGAGATGCAGACACCCTTCGGCCAGACACATTCACCATTTCTCCTAAGAGTAGTGATCTTAGTCGTTGCAGCTTGTCCATCAGATGGGAACCACACTGATTAGAGATGGCATTTACAGGGACATTCACAGCCTTTTGGAGGTCAAATCGATACTTTTTCAACTAAACAAAAGAACAGGAAAATGGAAAGTTCTTGGATAAGAGTTCAAAGATCAACAATTCAAGCAGTGTAGTAGCAAGTTAACTTCCAAGATGAGGTTAATGAAGTGCACGTATTGGTAGCACATATACATGTATATCAGGTGGCACAGATGAGCAAGGGCTGAACCCACAACAAGCATTTCCTATTGCATTTCATGGCCTGTCTGACCTGTCTAAGTGGTGAAGCTACACTTTGTGACTTTTTACATGCTTTGGGGAGGAAGGAAAATTAGAAACAATGTACCAGTAGCTCCAACGATTTTGCTGGGGGTATGGCTGCACTGGCCTCCCCCCTCCCAGATCCGCCACTGTGGACAACTAGCATGTACATGTAAAGCAACCTGCCTTTCACCACTGTGGCCTGGATTCAATTTCCAATATCACACGGAAAAGAACTCAACTTAAAAAAATGGGTATTGCAAATTTTTTAACCTAAACTTGGAAGACCACAAAAACAGTCCCACTCTGTTTAAAGGTGGAAGACGTAGTGTGAATAATCCACCAACCTGAGGGTCAGATGTTTGAGCAAGTTTTCCATAGGAGTCCATCACTGCCTTATGTTTATTTCTAATTCCCTCATATTCCTCCAATGCATCAGCTGAGATTGCTTTTTGAAGTACTACAACAAAAAGGGGACAAAACATATATCCATAAGTCACAAGCCCTAAGAAATCTAAGAACCAATTCTTTGCAAGACCTTGTTTTCATTTTAGAATTCAGTGCACAGCTTTCAGGCAATGGAGAAACCAAACAAATGTCATCCCATATACAAGTATGAATACCAATTACAGGTCATAAGTATTACAACAATTCCAATTGATAGCCTTACTACATGTACATGCATTTGGCCTGGTGACAGTTGAATGACCTTCATTTCAATGGTTACACTAGTCTATTCAACACATCAGACCTTCAAGTACACGGACATGTATCTATTATTTCTCAAGTAACCATAATCTCATCATATCAGTGTTTTTGTTAATGTGAATGACAAGTGTCCCATCAGAAAGCTATGAATGTCATGAAACAGAGCTAACCAAAAAGCCACAAAAATG